TCGGGATTAGTTGACCAAACCAACCCTTTCGGTCATGCCTGTACTTGGTTACGCACCCGTAGAGATGTTCCCACACTCAAAATCTCGAAACGGCGCGGTAATAAGGCCCAGGGCACGTACTATGCGCTATCGCCGCCTGGCCCCGCTACGACCGCCCACCTCGGGATGTGGTGCGTGGCTGGCATAACGTGTGAAATCAGCTAGGTATCAACCGATAGAACGACTGATATCTCAGAAAACTTGTTTGTACGTGCCTCTTTCCCCAAGCCAGCCTCCTTCACTGCTAGTGGGAAAGAGGGTTTTGTTAACGGCCTTGTCGACGGTTTTTCTCAGTTTTTTCTCCACTGTCGTTCCACTTCGCATCTCTATACTCAGTTTCAATCGCCATAATACCCCCTTATTGAGCCCGACTTTTGCCTTTAAGTAAGAAGGCTTGTCTAGATCACTTCTAGAAGTTTTGCGGAAACAACAACAGCCTCTAATCCTACTACATTTAATCCGCTAAGCGTGTACATGTGCGTGTCTGTGTTTGTGTGTGTTTGTCTGTCTGACCGGAAATTCATAACTTCGTTCCCTTTGGGTTGTGAGTACAGTCAACATATCCTAAATATCGGTGTCAAAAGCGGATATTACTTCTGGCTCAACATTATTAAGATCGTAACCATGACAGGATGACAATTGCAGTCCCAAATCTACCTGCGAACTCTTTTGGAGTTTCTTTTGCAATATTACGAGAACTGTATAACGTGTCTCACCCCTGGCATCATATCTTTGTTCCCAGTATTGCTTGAGTATGCAAACGAAGACGATGCCGAGTACGAGTAAGTAGTGATCCTAATATTTTTAATATTCTATTATAATCGTTATTTTCGAATATGCTTTGATGTCTGTTAAGATTGTGCGGTTCCCTTAAAGATATGGATATAAAATATAGTGCAAATACTCTTATACACGATCACATGTCCAGCTTACTATTGGTACCAAAGTTTGCAGATTCTTTTCTTGGAGTTGTTACACAAGTAAGACATTTATATATGAAAATTGTTCACTATAAGCAATGATTATATTTATTTACACAAATCGAAAGGTTCTATTCTCATGACAATATCAGCAATTAAAATATACTGAAATGATCAGGAAATACGATAGCAAACGAGAACTGCACCTAAACGACGAATCACAAGTTGCACTATGTGCCCTTTGTGAGGGCGTTTTCCGAAGAAAGCGCCACCGCGAAACAAAATTGAAAACCAAGAAAAAGAGTTTCACACTTCCCCACTATATATTATTGTTACCCATAATCTATACGCGACCTCAGAAGGAGAAAACGTGACGATAATGCGCCGTTAGACTAAAATTAGTGCACCGAATTGAAACAAAGTAACATGAGAGCAACTCAGGTAGAAACTAACACAAAATGAGGCGCCTGCAATAGTCCCAATCAGCAGCAGCCCAGTTTCGGAAGCCGAGGTTTTGTAAGAGAACGTATTTATCGTATAACTTCGTATAAATTCGCCCGATAACACAATTTCGCTGACTCATCTACGGAAAACCTTCATGAAATGAACCCAAATCGACTGCATGTTCGAAAATCAAAGTTTGTAAGATAATACTTCTCCGGCAATACCCTGTTGAAGCCATAGCTGCCGCGACTTATGGTAAGCTCTTCGTTGAGGTGAAGAGGATTACCTCTTCTGAATTCTTGATCAGCTTCTCCAAACTCGTCGACGTACGGCGCCAAGCAAGTGGGTTGTTTGAAAAAATGACACGACCGCAGATGTTTGATTGAGGGCACAAGCCAGGATGAGTTCAGATGGATGAACTCGTTTAGTGTACAGGATAGAGTTCTTCACGAAGGTCGTAGATATCCCGTTCTCCGGCTCTGAAGTGCACTCAATAGCGGTTGAGAACTGCCGGAACTGCTTCAACCGCTTATTTTTCCTGTCTTCTCCGTGCTTGGTTTGTCGTAGCACAGCCTTACCCAACAACTGAACAAGCTCATTGAATTTAGCGTTTCCACATATTCTTTCCTTAATTTCTTTACTGCCGGACAATTCACACCAATGGATCCATTTCCGTGTGCGAAAACCTTCAGTTTGATCATGGGTTCATGGATCATGATTCTGTAGTGTGAAGGGGTCTAATACAACTCATCTGACGTGTGAGGAGCGTTATCAACTCCCCCTTTCAAATTGAGCTTGCAGAGTCGAACTGAGAAGTGGTGTAGCGACGGTACGACCGCAATAAAAGTGCTGAAAGGGGTAGCGCATAGGGCCTATCGTGCAGCGAATGCGGCCAGTGACACCGCACGTGCGCAATTCCCTGACTTTTCGTTAAAACATCGAGTTCTCGAGTTCGCCGTGAGATCAACGGATGTGCCTTATCATTACTCTACTACGACCTAATTGATTTGTAGCTGATCTGCTGCAATGGGCCAAACGAAGTTAGAGTTGGACTACTGCAGCCTTCTCCTTCACCGTGACAAATGTAAAGATCAGCGTGCTCTCTGATACGACGTGTGGTCGCGCGTATTTTGTCCTCTACAGTCCTCTGCCTCGCCGTCGTACCACCTACCCCTTAATGAAAGTTCAGACTCTTATTTTAAAGCTCTCGATTGTTTTTCTTGCTTTCTTTTCCAATTTCTACCATGCAACTCAATCATCATTGTCGCGAAACGGCTGGGGGAAAGGGTATCCTAATTCTAAGCCGCCCTTCAGTTCCCTTTCCCGGGGATCCGGATTCCCTTGTCTCAAGTAGAGGCGACCTGCCCTGAGCGGTCACTCTGGAGTCCGTGCCGCTTTCCTTCACTGCACGGCGCCGCTCCCCGAGGCATCTACACAACGTCCTAACCATCGAACATTAGCATCGGATGCGCTGGATCGTCTGGCACGACCCCCTCGCCCTGGCGCCCCCTGACCATTACTTCTAATACACAGCAATACACAAATATGAACGCATTCATTATAGTCCTTCCCCTGAACATTTCCGACGTCTTACTCTTACTCCTGCCGGGATCTGAACATGTCCTCCATTGGTCCTTGCGGTAATCCTACTGTGCACGCCTCTTCCCTCAAAGGTTATTGAGGGCTCTGCAGCCGATCACTGGACCTGCCCTATCGTGCGTCCGACCACACGGCAGTTCTGCTCTGCGCACTTCATGTGCGGCCTTGGGCTCCTGCTGGCTGTAGCCTGGTGCACTCCTCCCCCCCCTCATTGAGAGCAAGTACGCTTTTACCGGCAGAGGCGACCGCTGATGACGACCGATCTCGACTGGGGCGCGGCCTCCACTTCTAGGGCAGAGCGCCTGCGCAACTGGCCATGACAAGCGACGTAGCCCGTTGGTGCAGCCCCGACAAGCCGAATCGCACAGAACTCGCACCGTTTTGGGGTCCTGAAATACGCTTCGCTTTTATTTTACCTGGGTGTACGAGTAAGACATTGTTGAATTGTTCTCAGAAAAACAACGATGAAGGAGCAAGAAGTGTATGTATTCACAACCTTGTGGTGAATAAAGCAAGTTTTAATTCAGGCATTCTACACTACTTATCTTTGGCGTGTTAAAGTATCAGTTTTAAAATTTATCCAAGTACTAGTCTTCTCCAATATTTACGAGTTAGAGAAAAAATTTCGTCCTGCAAAAGTGTTAAGTGTTAAGATTACTCTATGATGCAATTATTGATCACCAGGTTAGTCACTTCATTACTACTTCATCTTTGAAACACTTTGATTGACTTCACTACGCTTTATAGGTGGAAGTACGAATTGAAGCGTCGCGTGCAATGTTCACTCTAATCCTCTGTGAATACATCAAAGTCGATAAGGAGCTTTCGGTGAGCTCTTTCCCTTATTTATTGACGGCTTTATTTTCCTTCAATCGAGACACTTTATAGAACTATTTGAATGATTTGATGAAGAACAAGAGCACTCCTTCAATGCATGGCGCAATATTGGGAATGGCGGCGGTAGTACGAGCTCATCCCTTTACAACACCACCTGCTATTAAGCCCATGCTGTGGGCATTGTGTAATGTAACCAGCCGCAATGCCGAGCTTCAGGTCAGTTAACTTTGTATTACAGGCTACTCGCATTGCAGAAACGGGCTTTTCGACTCGGGGTCAACGGGCGGGAATGAGTTGCCTACTCTGCCAAAATTCTTCAACACCTATTTAAATTCTTTACCTTCTGTCAAACCTTCCTACTTTTAAAAAAGATAATCGCCGTCCACTGTCGTCAAGAAAAACCACCCTGCTTCTCCAAGTCCGATCACCCTACCTTTCCTGAATCTCACATGTGACCCAATCGTCTGGTCGGCTAACCGGACAATTTTCTCTATATTGACTGCATCTGCATTTATGGGCAACTGGTACGACCAATTCGTGGTAAAAGGGGATACTAAAATAAATAAAAAAAGGAAAAAGGAAAAGGAAAGAAGAGATATTTATTCACTACAAGGGATGCCTCGCTTCTAAGGAAACCGTGGCGCTTTTGCGGCGATAAGTGCGCGAGCAGCGTCGCAATAAGACATTAAAGATATCGCTGGACGCATTCTTCCCTCTGTCCGGTTCCGATGCTGCTCCAGCAACCGCTGACCCTTCGCTGTCGGACTCTGCTTTTTTGACAGAGAGGTAGTGCAATTCATTCAAGTTAATGACGCCAGCTACTGTAAAATATCATCCATCCAGTCTCACTCACAACTCCACCATATTTACCTCAACTTTCATTTCTGTAGGGCGACCACTTGACGCATCACCTACCTTTAGCGCAAAATGTTCATGCAGTTTGAAATCATCAGGCTGAAGCTCACCAAGTGTAGATTCTATTTTAAGAAAGAAAACATCCAAAATTCAAAAGGTCACATTTCAGAAAACCGCAACGACTGCGCTGCGTGAATTCCGAGCCGGGACTCATCGAGAAAATTGGGAGAAGACAGCAAAACTTTTAGGATCAGACCTTGTATACAAGATCGAGAATGCTATTGCTCCCCTTTACTATGCTTAAAGAGTTATTTCCTTGTTTGGTATTATAATCTGCCCAGCGTTCTCGATCTCTTTTATTTTTCCAAATTTATGTAAAATAGAATGTTTTTATAAGGCTTACGTAACACGAATTCCAGAGATACTTTACCATGCTGACCCCCAAAAATATTCAATTGTCTGCCCTTTTGCCCCTTCCAATAAAGTTAGTTATGTGTTATGTTCACATTTTCACGGTGTAACTATTCTATGCTATGGAGGGTTGGATGCTTAAAAAAGTTACTTTCTGACCCTGTGGGAGCCATGATCCTTGAACGCTGTCACAACCCATCCGTCGGCTTGAATAGCGCAAGGATCTATAACCCATGTTTATTTTGCACTCGATTGCGAATGGGATGCATTAGCTGATCTTCAAGGGAACCCTTCCCGAAAAAATCTTGCATTCATTCCCAACATGACTGGCTCATTGGAAGAAAAGGACAGTGGAAGAGTCCGAATTGGGGTGGCTACGTATCAGGCGACGCAATAAAGAATCGGTTAAAGCGTGCGATTTTGGAGAGTAGAGACAAATCGATCGATAGAATAGGATGGAGTAGAAGTGTAAGATGTGAATGCAATAAGCAAAAGGCCAGAAAGAGTTTAGTGAAGGCACTCCAAGAACCAAGTGGAAGCATCCCCGTCGCCAGCATTTGTGAAAGATGTCCGTGGGCACTTTGAACGCGTAGCAGCCCTTTCGAGTTTTCGATTTTTTTACCAAAACAAATGTAAAAGCACGATTTTCAGAGCAGGATTGTGTGGAAGTGATAGAATAACGTGAATATGACCATCTTAGAGTACGGCAGAAGTTGCAATTTAACATGCATGAAACCTGCAGTCATAAATGGTGGAGGATCTGTGATGGCACTGAAGAGAATAAGTCCTATTTTGAAAACTGTTATGTGACAAGGAAAAGTTAAAGAGGCATAACGGCCAACGTCCTCTTGCCATAGGCAGTGCAGACTATGGCGGCA